AGTTTTTAATGAAAGAGAAAAATTTATTTACTTTGCATATTAAATTGAAGTAGTATATATGTATATTAGCATATAGAATGGCATGTGTTGAATTTTTTATAATAAAATTTAATATTTTCTGACAAAGTTTTAGGCAACAAAAATTAATCAGATTTTTTTTTCAATAAATACTTTTTTCTTTATTAAATTGATTTCCACTTTATCTTTTATATTCGCTTTACTCTTTCCTTTCGGCTAATCCGCTTTGTATGTAACCGCATTGGCATTGAAACTTTTCTTTACTGTAAGTCTCCGCAGTATACCTTCGCACGCTAAGTAATTTAAAAATTCTATTTGTAAGTTTTCCAAGCTTACTTGGGCAAAGAGATTGCTGATGAATGGCTTAATAAGAAAATAAGAAAAAAAAAGTTCTTTATGCGATTGATTTGTAAGGCATTGCCGCAGGTAACTCAATAGCGTCGTATATAACTGTAAAGGCTGAGCAATTACTTTGGGCTTTGCTGGTGCTTTGCAAACTTTTGCGTAAGCTTTTGAGTTACTTTCAATATTTTTAATTATTTTATTTTTTTTTTACTTTTATTTTTATTTTTATTTTTATTTTTATTTTCAATTTTTCAATATTTACTTTTTTTTTTTGTAAGAGTCGCCTTATTTAAATAAGCTGCTTTGATTAACTGTAAATTTTATTCTCTCTGTAATTTGTTGTTTTTTTTTGCTTTGAGCTTTCGCTCTTTAAGTTGAAATTTTTTCTTAAAAATTATTCCTTACTTTTAATTTATCTTTTTATTTCCTTTTTCAAAGTCTTGCTCATCGTAGCGCCAAGTGTATACGATAAGCCTCTATATATTTGTATATACTTTTATATGTGCTTTATTTCACCTGTCTTCAACGTGCACTTCCGCTCCACTTGCCATTGGCTTTATTTGTTTTTAATTAACTCACTTACGTAAATATTGTACTCCTTCGACATTAATTTTTAAAACAAACGCAAAGACGAGGCAAAAATGAAAAGCAAAAATTAAAAGCGAAAATCAACAAAAACAAAAGCAAAAACAAGAAAAAGCGTTAAATGAAGCAGGAAAAAATATGCAACGCCATCGCATTAATCTCGTGAGTGACATTTGTCAGGCGGCGGTGGCATTGTACTACTTAAAGTAATAAAATTTAAATTTTATGGCAAATTTAAATTTATTTGTTATAAAATTTCTTATTTTTATGAATTTTTTTTTTGAATTTTATTTAATATTTTCCCACTATTTTTTATTATAATTAAAAATAAAAATTAAATTCGAAATTTTTTTCATTTATATATCCTTTTTAATGCTTGTTTAATTTTTTTAAATTTTATTTTTATTTAATTTTTCAAATTGTGTTTTTTTTTTGATTCTGTTTAAAAATTTTATTTAAAATTTACTAAATACATATTTAAAAAATGTATACAAAAAATAAGCAAAAATATATTTAAAAAAATGTATTTAAAAAAAAAACAAAAAAAAAATCTGACATAAAATCCAAAAAAAAAAAGTTAAAAAAGGTTTATTAAAAAAAAATAAACACAAAACTATGAAAAAGAGAATGTTAATAAAATTATTAAATAGAAATCAGAAAGTTGCAATATAATAAAATTGAAATAAAAACTAAAAAAAATTTATATATGAAATAAATTAAAATTTAGCACAAGAATTAAAGCAAAAAATTTAAGAATAAACAGAAGTAAAATGCTTTTTAAATGAAAACAACATCAAAAAATAGTAGATATAAATAATTGAAAAGAATTTAAATAAAATTAAAGATCTATACAGGCTAATCAATTTTGCGGTTTGGAAAATAAATGTAAATATCCAAACCGCAAAATTGATTAGCCTGTATAGATCTTTAATTTTATTTAAATTCTTTTCAATTATTTATATCTACTATTTTTCATTTTTTATTCATATAAAATGACAAAAAAAATTTCAATATTTTCTTATCTGATAATTTTTTATATTTAAAATTTTATTAATGATTATTGTTATTTATTACTTATATACCTATTAATAATATGCAATATTTGTTTAAATAATTTATTATTTTTATTTATTTTCTATTTTTTAATTTTTACTTAATATTTCTATTAATTTTTTTAAATTTGGTATTATTTTGTATAATTTTTTTTTGCTTAATTTTGCTCATTTTAATTTCTTACTTTTTATATTTTTTAGCTTATCTGAATTTTTAATTATTATAAAATATATTTTTATTATATATGTACATCAAATAATTATTTTTTTTGTATAAATTCAAGCTATAAATACTATTTTTCATTGGCTTAAGGTAGGTGAAAGCATAATCGATAGCACGAATGTGTCTATTTCTCGACGTTTTCACGAACTGAGACACTCTTACGCCACATTATGGCTTATTTCCATATGAAGTCCAGTTCTCACCACAACTGAAGTCACTGTATGTGTGCCATATATAATATATATGTGAGTTTAGCGGGGGACGTCGATTTTTCGAACAAAATTTTCGCCAGCGACGAGGCACATTTCTCGCTCGGTGGATACGTAAATAAGCAAATTTGTTGCATTTGCAGCGACTGAGGATTCTCAAATAATTGAGCAGAGGCCATTACATCCAAAAAACACTAACTTGCCAGGTGCGCTCTTTGGCCTGGAGGAGGTGTGCTAGGACCTGACTCCTTTGAAAACGATAATGGCGAGACCGTCATTACGGAATGTTTTGCCTTGCAATTGAAGAATACAACTTGGACAATATGTGGTCTCAACAGGCACGACACACAATCCGAGCAAATATGACTTTATTGCGCGGAAAATTTCCCGTCGCGTTAACTCTCGTCTTGGCGATGTCAACTCGACGCCGAGAGTATGCAAATTGAAACCGTTGGTCGTTTTTTGTGTGGGAACTTATTTCTGTGAATAAATCTTTGACTGAAAAATTGATATTTTTCAAGTTATGGCTGATGTACCGCACAAAATGGGCCAAAAAAATAGTCGAAAATTACCGCAAACGGAGAGAAGTTTGTAAAAGTTCATCTGAAATCTTTGATGTAGTGCTTGACAAGCAGTGCAATATTCACACTTTATAATAAAAAAGATATATAGTGAAATATATTATTTTAAATGAATTTTTCTACATTTATTTTCCAAACCGCAAAATGGATTAGCCTGTATAGATTGTCACCTCCACTTTTTGTAATTACAATATGTATGTGCGTGTGTACATACGTACATACATATGTATACCTACAGTGGCTGTTGGTCAAACGCCTACCAACAACCACACACGTCAAAACAAACTACCGCACAAAAAGGAGATGACAAAAACTAACAAAGCGACCGGCCAGCTTAGTGAAGACGGCGTGGGTCGCTAGCTACGCACAACAACAAACTACGTGCAAAGAAAACAAAACCAAGCGAAACTTCCTAACGCGATAAACAAAAATTGCGGGACAACAATTTAACAGCAAATTCGAACTACTCAAAACAATAAAACAAAATATGTTTTTGGGGTGCACCCGAGGTGTGGTCCAACCGAACTGGTTACGAACCCACTCGCACTACTCCCGTGCTGCCGGGGGTAACTTTAACCCGCCTGTATGACTGGGCTCCGGGTGCGGGATGCTAGAAGGATGGGTAAGGACGTAACGAGGGTGGTGACACTGTCGGCACGACAAAACGTACGCAAACAATAAATACACGAAATGATACTTATCAGTTTCTCGGTCGGGTGTGGGTACCCAACTTCGGTGCTCCTCCGGATGATGTCGACGCCAAACTCTGGTTCCGCCACTGGAATATAAAAGAAAACCTATTTTGCACTGGGCTTCGTCTGCCCTTAAACAAGCCCCGACTGGCTTAAAACTTTCACTACTTTTTACAAGGCTTCAACTGCCCTTACACTACCACTTGCCTCGCCTGGCAAAACGCTATTATATTTATAAAAAAAAATATCACAAATTTTTTGTTTTTTTTTTTTTCTTTTTTTTTGTAAATCGCACGCCTGCGTAAAAAGAAGTTCGCACTCTTCTGTAGATTGCAAGAATCTGATCCGGCACGCACTTACGAGCCAGGCCGCAAGCTACGCGTCGGCCTTCAAAATTCTCCTGCGAGTGTGTATTGGTGCCCAATCATTTGGCGCCGCCCCCATTACCCAAAGGGACCGGGTTGTATAGCGCACGCCACCATGGCACACCAAGTACACTGGGATAACTTTTCCCCTCGCTGCAGTAAAGAAAAAGGCGACACCCCTTTTTACGGAATTCCCGCGCAAAGCATACCGTTGCCCTAATATTTGTTAGTGGAGGAACCGTTTTGGGGAACACCTCCTCTTGGAGACTTATACCACTGGGTAGGCACACACCGAATGCAACCGTGCCATCAATCCATGGCTTCAAATAATGCAACTATTTGCCGACAGATATCACTGCCAACGCTTGGAGTGAAAGGGAGCTTAGGCAAAACAAAGGAAATTAACAGACACACATAAAAGAAGTTTTTGTTGCGGCCAGTACGCGACAAGATCTTTAATTTTATTTAAATTCTTTTCAATTATTTATATAAACTATTTTTTGCCTTTTTTTTTATTTTAAATTCATTTTATTTATAATTATTTTAAAATTTTTTGCTTTAATTCTTGTGCTAAATTTTAATTTATTTCATATATAAATGTAATTTAATTTTTATTTCAATTTTATTATATTGCAATTTTCTGATTTCTATTTAATAATTTCATTAACATTTTTTTCATATTTTTGTGTTTATTTTCTTTTATAAAAAACCTTTTTTAATTTTTTTTGTATTTTCTGTCAGATTTTTTCTGTTTTTTTTTAAATACTTTTTTTTTTTAATATCTTTTGCTTAATTTTTGTATAAATTTTTTTAAATATGTTTTTAAAGTATTTTATCAAATTAAATTTTGTAAAATTATTTACCTATACTTCCTTTCTTTCCACATTTTCATATATATTTTTGTGTTAATACTTAAATTTTTATACTCACCACTATCAAATTCCACATTTTTGCCGCCTCCGCAACGGTGGTGCAGACAGTACTGCAACCGGCTAGTAACATTAATTTTTGTGGTCTATTATAGAGTAGATTGTACATAACGCTAGCGCCGAGACCGGGTTCGCACTGCAAAAGAAAAAGAAAAAAGTATAATTAAATTCTTTTAGTAAAAGTTTTTATGTACAATATAATGTAAAAATCAATATTTATTAATATAGTGAATAATATAATGTTAATGCAAAATATTTTCCGAAAACTACGTCAGCACCAAAAATTGAACGATAAAGTCTTCAACATCGCGTTGAAATTATTAAAATCTGCTATAAAAATTTCAACGAAAAATCAGCTTGGCTGATGAAGCCCACGTCCACCTAGATTTATTGTTGAAAAGCCTATAGATACCTAACGTGTAACTGTTTGGTGCGGTTCTGTTGTGGATTGGTATGTCACCAGTTCGGTACAAAATCCGAAAATAATTGTAACTTCAATCCATTTTGCTAGTATTTTGAGTCAAAAGGATGTCTTTCATACTAATTCGGAGGAAGTTGAGGTCTACTCTTGGCCTGAATCAAGCTCAATATTAACAAATTTTTGGGACTTTTTGCTGAGTGCTAACTTTTTGTAAAAGGTTTTGGTACGTTTTGGGCCTAGAACGCAACTAGTTAAGGTGTGTCGGCAACAGCGTAAGCTTACTTTATATTAAGATACACTTGTGACTAGTTATGGGTAACTTACAGACTACTCCCGGACATCTTTAAATAAAAGTCTCTGAAAGAGTTTCCTACTTTAAACGATGATAAAACAGCAGAAAATTTAATATAAGAAAATTAAACGTAACTTTAGTTTTAACAATTTAAATATTAATGGTTGAATTTAATTATTAAAAATATTTAGCGCCACAAATGCAATTGAATAATCAAAAATAAAATAGTAAATATATAATTAAAATTATTAGAAATAATAAATTCTTTGCTACAAATAAATAGATTAAAAAGCTTAATAAATAAAGATAAAAAAATTGTAGCAACTAAGTATAAGAAAATTAATAAAAAAAATAATAATTAAAAAAATAATTGATTTGCGAATCAGTAAATAAATAAAAAAAATAGTTAAAACAAATGTAAAAAATAAAAAAAATTATAAATAATAATAATACGAAATTTTTAATTAAAAAGAAAAACGAAATGGAAAAATAAACTATTAAGAAATATATTAAATATTTTTTAAATAAATTAAAAAAAATTTCTAAAGAAATAAAAATTAGAAATTAAAGATATTTTTAAAGTATAATGAATAAATAAAAAAATAAAAATAAATAAATACTTTAATAGATATTTAAACATCTATGAAAATTAATTAATTAAGACAAATTTAAAAAATAAAAACTATAAATAAAGGGAGATTAATAACAAATTTATAATTAAAAAAAAGAAAATGGAAAATAAATTAAAAAAAAAATGCTTAATAAATAAAAATTAGATTTCAAAGCATAATGAATGAATAACTAAATAAATAAATAAATAAATAAATAAATAAATAAATAAATAAATAAATAAATAAATAAATAAATGAATAAATAAATAAATAAATAAATAAATAAATAAATATATAAATAAATAAATAAATAAATACATAGATAAATAAATAAATAAATAAATAAATAAATAAATGAATAAATAAATAAATAAATAAATAAAAAATAAAAATAAATATATAAAAAATACTTTAATAGATATTTATATATCTAAGAAAAATTATTAATTGAGACAAATTTAAAAAATAAAAATTAAGGGAAATTAATTACAAATTTATAATTAAAAAAAAGAAAATGGAAAAACAAACAAAAATTAATTAAATATTATTCAAATAAATTAACAAAAAACAACTAAATAATTGAAAATTATAAATTAATAATATTTGAAAAGTATAATAAATAACTAAACAATAAATAATTAAACAAATAAATAAATATGTAAATAAATAATAAAATAATTTAATAGCTATTGATTTATCTAAAAAAAAAATTATTAACTAAATAAAAATTAAAAAATAAAGAATATTTATAAAAAACAGACAAAATAATGACGATAAAAAACTAACAAAAAATAAATTAATTCATGTTTAAATAAATTAACAAAAAAAAACAAAAAAAAATAGTAATGGATATTTAAATATCTGAAAAAAAAAATTAAAATTAGAACAAAATTAATAAATAAAATTGTAAAACTAAAGAATATATGTAAAAAAAATAAAAAAAAAATGATGACGATAAAAAACCAAAAAAAGAAAAAAAAAAAACAAAATGAATTAATTCATTTTTAAATAAACTTAAAACAAATAACTAAATAAATAAAAATAAGAAAACTAAAAATATTATAAAAATTTTATAATTAAAAATTATAAAAAAAATTTGTTTAAAGTAGTTAATTAACAGATATTTAAATAGCTAATTAATTAAATTTAAAAAAAATATAAATATATATAATATAAACCTAATAAATATATTTTATAATTAATAATAAAAAATTATTAATTACAAAATTTTAAAATAAATGATAATATCGAAACAAATAAATAACTAATAAATAAATTAAAAACAAATAAATTAAGCAAGTTTACAAACAAAAGAGTGAGCAAGTGTCTTTTGAGGTTAAAAAAAATATTAAAATAAGTAAAATATTTTTGAAACATTTTAAATACACACAAACAGTCACAACTCAACATGCATTTTCACACATTTAACTTAATTGCCATTCGGCGTGTTGGCAGGCATTTCAAGTGCACAAATTTCACGGATTTCAAAAATAATAACAGTTAGAAGCGCTAATATGACCATTTAAAACTGTTATTCAAAACTGCCAATTTGTCGCAAAAAAAAAATATAAAAAATAGTAAAAAAAGTTAAAAAATTTTTCCAGCGACAAAAATGCAACAAATTTGCAAGTGGTGAAAGTAAAAGCGAGAGAGAGAAAAGTGAAATTGAAATTGAAATTGAAATTGATAGTTGCAAGTGTGAGTAAAACGTATTTGTGGCATGAAATTAGTAAACAACAACAATCAAGTCAGCATTGTTATTGTTATTATTGTTTATATTAGTTGTACACAAACTGTAACTTTTTTCACAAATTTGCTTTTGTTGTTGCATATTTGCATGCAAGCGGCAATTTTTCACACATTTATTGTGGCACATTGGTTAGCGTGTTGCAACACACCACAACACAAAGCGGCGACAATGCGACTGAAGGTGTGCCGCCGCAAATCAGTGTACTTTAGTTCGAGCGAGAGTTGAGCTTCAGCTAACTGTAGTTTAAATTAGTGAAATTGCGGTGATTTGCCGTTGAAGTTCCGTCGTGGTAAGGAGTTGAGCACTTTAAATTTTGTCCAGCGTGCAACACGCGATGGTTAAGGTGTGACAGGTGAATGGATGAATGAATGTATGAATGAATGGATGGTTGGTTTGCTGGCGATATGGAACTTTGCGCCTCATTAGCGAAAGAAGTGTAGAATTATCAAAGTCTCATTAAGCTAAATAACGGTAATTGAAAATATTTAAAGTAATTTAAGTCCAGTGGAATACGAGTATGAACGGCACAGCAGAGGAAGAGGTAGGCTCCGCTAAGGCGATCCGAGCTTTATCAACACAAGCATTCAACTCCTCGCCTTCCAATGGAAATTTCGTAAAGCAAAGTAAAGACGAGTTTTGCTTGATTTGATCTATCCAACGGCGTGAGGTATTCCTTTACTTTTATTTCCACTACATCATTAAGCATTGACAAATTTGGAAGCTGGAACATTTTGTTCCACCCGGAGCGGCGTAACCAACTCAATTCCCAACTCGCTGTATTATGTCATTTCACACAAAACCTCTTTCTTCTTCGAAAACTCCTAGTGCGGACACATGGAATGCTCTCATCGTTCAGGCCTGTGCACCCAATAACAGGTCGTTACTAGTGCGAGTGGAGTTTGGTCCTTACTCGCCAATATTTTTCCATTGTTTCCTCAGTTCAAAGTAGCAACTGTTGGTCACAGGGATTTTGCGATGGATTTTAAGCCTGCTATTGTTGGCTTGGAAGCCAAGGTGCGAGTAACCTGTATTGATGCTCTTCTCATAAGTCTTTCGTGCATGGTTAATTTCTGGTCTGCGATAGATTTACTAGGCTGAAGCCACACTCTTGAGGTCTGATCGGTTCGTTGATGTTGGACTTCAATCCATCACAAAATACTCTAATCATGCGAAGCTTAACCCAATATATTTGTCGCAGACTGCGTAGACTCCACCTTAAGGGTTCTACAGAGCATACTCGAGTTCCGGTTCAAGGTTCGTGCATGCTTAATATCTGTTCTGTGTTATATTTGCCAGGCCTGAAATCACACTCATGAGGTCTGATCGGCTTGTTGATGTTGGACTTCAATCTATCACAAAATACTCTAATCATGCGAAGCTTAACCCAATATATTTGTCGCAGACTGCGTGGACTCCAGCTTAGGGGCTCTACAAAGCATACTCGAGCTTTAATCTTTGAACATGACTTCATTCTCTAATATTCTCTAAAGAACGACGGGGTTCCACCTTCCGTACTACACCAACATTTAGGATTATCGTCAGCCTCGTTGTCACTATTTGAAATTCCTCACAGTCGGCTGACGGGAGTAGCACTCAAAGGTACGTTGCAGATGCTCATATAAGACGGCTTTGGTTAAATCGTCTAGCTCCTCCGTCGCTTTAATGCTGTTGTTGGCTTGGCACTCATTCACTGAAGTGCAACACAGGACTCGGCGATGGAGTCTCTTGTCTCCCACCGCAGCTCCAACCCCAATTTTGCGTTACTTCATACTCTTGCTGTAGTAGATCTTGAGGGATCCAACTTTTTCCATATATCTCTCATCCACTACATTTCTTGAACGTCACTGCTGGCAATCAGCAATCATACGAGGCCATCAAATGGGAGAATGTGGCACTTTTGCTAGCAAAAAAGAGCGAACATATCAGATGCGTGCCTTGGGGTCCTCAAAATGTCTGCAATGGTCATTAGCAAAAGAGAGATCTCTACTAGGATATTTTAATCCATTTAAGCTGATTTCTGCTAGGCGGTTTCCAAGCCCTGCATACAGCCACGTTGTGCTAG